AACACGAGAGCAAGAGGATGTGTAGCTCCCTTCACAAGTGCTGCTAGGTAATTCAGGGTCTCCCAGACTCTTCCCCAGGCATTTCAGAGGGTAGGGCGCACTGCTGCCTGTATCCGAGGGATCTAAGTTGCCTACTCCTTAGGAGAACCTAATCCCTCCCGCTCAATCCATGGAAAAACAGTCTTCCATGAAACCGTCCCTGGTGCCAAACGACTGGGGACTACGGATTTAAAGAACTCTGCTTGTATTCCATAATTTTCATGGCACATCCACATTTATAAAAGTTTGAATATAATCAACAATTTATAAAAGCTTAAATGTAATCTGTACTTTAAAAAACAAGTGGAGGGTTCCCAATGGCTAATCTCTGAGTGATAAGAATTACAGGTGATTTTAATTTTCTTTTTGTATTTTCAAAATTGTCTAAAACAATAGTTAAGGAAACTGCACCTTTTAGTCTGAAATGTAATGTATACAATCATTTCAAAGCAAAGTTTATATCCCTTCTTGCACACAGAAGGGAAAGTGTAGAGTTTCCATTTAGTTATATAAATTCACACGAACTTGCACAACTGCCTTTAAACAGCTGAACTATCTTCACCACACCTACTGCTGCAACAGATAAGGAGGCAAAAAAAGAAAAGAAATGAAATAAAAATGGTCGTTTAATCACTGAGATTCAGCTGAAGTGGCAGTTGAAGTTATCTACCATAAAATTATCATTGCCTATGAGATTTGGTTCAAACTATTAAGACAGGGAATCTGATTAATTGCCCCATCCTCCAACCGCTGGAAGATGCCCCCTGGGCAAGCGTCCTCACCTCATCCAGTGGGCTGTGGACATGGGCCTGTTACAATGGAATGCACATGACCAGTGTGGAGCCTTCCATGTGGGCAATAGCCTTCCATGTGGGGAGGGTTATGAGTGGGGTGCACAAGGCTGGCAATAACACCAGTCAACGTACACCTCTATCACCCAACACACTTTCCCGTCCTTGGTGGGATCTGTCACAGTCTCCACATTCTCACTCTAACCCTCTGCTTCAGACTTCCCTACATGCCAAAGAATCAGGGATTTCTCACCTGAGGATGTGGAATTGTGGCCAAAAGATAGTTGGAACTCAGTAGTCTTTGGAAGCAAAAGATATAAAAATGATGTTTTTAAAGTCTATGTTGTGAAAAGTTTTAAATGTCAAAACAGTATGCTGAACTCCCATGATCACCCAGCTTCAAAAGTGATCAGCTCAGGCCAGTCTGGTTTCCTCTACGGCCCCATCCCCACCCTTCAAGCTGTGCCTATACCAAGGGAAGAGGGAGAAAAGTGTGCAGGGGTGGAGGTGGCCTGCACACTGTCTAGGGTCTACATCTTGTCCTGGGTGACAGTTACCAACTCTCTGAGCCCCAGTTCCCTCATCCAGGAAGTGAGCCCCAGCCTCACAGAGCTGTGAGAGGAATACATGAAACAATCCTGTGGAATGCTCAGCTTGACGTCTGGCTCAACAGAGGCTCAATACATGTCAGCTCTCATTGCTGCTGTGATGACTGTCACTGCTCTGGGTCTCATCTTCCTAGATGTGTCCCCACTCCTTTTAATAGCTAGCAGAGTTTGGTTTCATGGTTTCAATTTGGGAGGAAAAAAAGAACATTCTGCTACTGTCTGAATGTTCATGCCTACCTCAAATTCATATGTTGAAACCGAATCGCCAAGGTGATGGTATGAGAAGGTGATTAGGGCATGAGGATAGAGCTCTCACGCATGGATCAGTCTCATAAAAGAGGCCCCAGAGAGCTGCCTCACCCCTCCCACCAGGTGAGAGCACAGTGAGAGGCTGCCTTTATGAGACACCAAATCGGTGATTATCTTGATCTTTGACTTTCCAGTCTCTAGAACTGTGAGAAGTAAGTATCTGTTGTTTATAAGCTATCCAGCCTATGATATTTTATTATAGCAGCCAGAATGGTTCAAGCCAGACACCACACAAAAAGGTATCACCACTACTGCTCCTGTGGTTCATGAATGCCTCTACTAAATGTTGCTATTGTTACTGCTATTGCTGTTATTACCAGTCCGATTACCTGTAATAATACTAGCCATTATCTTGACTATGTCAAGCACTGTGCCTAACTTATCTAGCTGAATCCTCACAGGTACCCTGCAAGGGAGATTCTGTCACTATTTCCACTTGACAGTTCAGAAAACACGGACCAAAGAATTTAAGGGACTTGCCTAAAATCACAGAGCTAACGAAATTCTGAGCCCAGATCTGCCTGACCAAAAGGCCTTCCACCACACCACTCCACACCTAAAATGCTCTTGGGGCTAAGATTTGATGAGAGGACCCACTCTTGCTCACCATGATGAAATTTATATTACAGATTCTAAAAGTTAAAAACTCTCAGTGAAAATAAGACTCTCTTTTCAAACAGCTAGCCGATGCTCCTTCAAATAAATATTTTTACCTCAATAACTGTGACTCTTAGCTTTTCAAATACGGTAGAACCTAGGTAAGTTGACCACCCAAGGGGCTATAACAAACTATAGGTACATGCAGAGCTGGTCAACATAAGGAACTAGGCCTACTATACTGATATGTACAAGTGGTACATGTCTGGTCTGTGAAAATGAGGTCAACTTAAGGAGGTGGCCGATGTAGGGAGATGGTCCACTACGTACAGGTGGTACATGTCTGGTCTGTGAAAATTAGGTCCACTTACAGGGGTGGTCAATGAGGGAGGTGGTCAGCTACAGAGATTCCACTGCATATGCCCTAAGTTTTTGATTGTGACGATTAAAGCCTTGTGGATCCTCAAACATATGCCTTCCTTTTTAAAGAGAAAGTCATAAAAGTGAAGTTTAAGCATCAGGGTACAACAGTAAAACATCACCTGGTTTCTGCCTGGCACATACTCTCCCTCATTTCTTTCTATAGGCAGATTTTTTTAAAGAAACCAACTAGTTGATCATATTTTTTAAAATTCCAAATTGTGGTCTTGTGTCTACAACAGATCATATTCAAATAAATGAGTATTTCTATACCTAGGACTTGTCTGTGGTAATGATGCTTCACTGAGTTACCATCAATTCTCCTGAGGAATGATTCTGCGTAGCACATTCTCTAAGGATTCTGTCCTTCCTGTAATTCCATGCAATACAGGAAGCTCGGCTGCCTGCAACTTGTTTGCCTAGGATCTGGAGGCCCACGAGTACATGGCCTGGCCAAGGAGGACGGTAGGACTGTCCTGCCCATACATGCACAAAAATGCCCAGGAGCTTGGAGGACTGAGAGGACAGAGACCAGCTATTCCTAGAGTCTGGGACTTCCCGGATCAAAATATTAATAATTTCAGAAGCACTTGTAGAGACTAATAAGAGTTAAGAAAACAAGGAAAAGCCGGACTTCACAACTGAAACCACGAAACAGCAGCAACAACCAAGTACCACAGATACACACGCTCACAAACAGTCCTACTGTCTTTTATCACACCACCATTTTGAAAGGAAGAAAGTTTAAAAACAGAAGCATAGAAAGACCAGAGGCTCAGAGTAAAACACAATTCTTTCTTAAAAAAAAACAGCTAAACTTTCAGGTAACGAGAAACACACACAGAGAGTGGAAGGTAGACAAACACACAAAACATCCTCCATATTTTTCCTCACTTCCTGCAAATACGTGCTCCTTGTTGAAGACCACAGGAGGTCACTAAAGAAGCACTAAACTAGCTCTGGAAATCCTCCCCACCCTTCCCTCCCTGGGAGCCCATCTCAGCCCGTCCCCAATTCCCAGGCCTCCAACACTCCCTAGTAGCTCCAATGAAGCACCTCCTTCCTAACCACTGCCTGAGTGCCAGCAGCATTCTCTGCACATCCTGCAAATCCCAGATGGAATTTCTGCAAATTTTGGAATTTCCTTATGAATAAACTTTTATTTCCTCCAAAAATTTTTTCCTCCAAATGTTATAAGGCAGTGGTTCTCAGTCTTCCTAATGCTGCAATGTATTTTCATTGTTAAATCAGGGTCGTGACCCACAGGTTGAGAACCGTAATCAGGTCCTATTGTATTTAGGCAAAGAGACTTCAGGAGCCTAAATACTGTCTCCCACGTATGAGAAAAGGAAAGAAAAATAAACACTTTATTAAAATAACATTAAAACTGGAACAATTCCCAGAGAATATGAGTTTACTAATATGGGAAATTACTCTACAAATGAACAAAACTACTTCTTGCATTTTAAATCAGTTATGCAAGAAAAGTCTGAGAACTTTCCTAGAAATAATTCATTTTCTGACATAATAGAAGTTGATATATAACCTTCTTCCAATAAATCAGTTAGAGAGGGGTGTGTGCATGATAAAAGCCAAACCCTTCTAGGTAATAAGTAGCCATGAATTTGATGACTTTAGAACAGAAGATATTAGTAACTGACACAGTTACTGACACACTATATAATTTACTATACAAGACAGTGCAGTCATGAACTCCTAAGAAAAACAGAAAAAGATATATAACACTTAGATATTTTAATTAGCAGGAAGCCCCTTTTTAATCTATGCAGGATCTAAGTTTTTTAAACTTAAAAGCCAACATGCATAGGTTCCCTACTTTCTTTGTTAGTGTTAATGTAAAGGTCTGCATCTCACCTCTCCTCCATGAGATATTTGAAAGCACAAAAGTTATACCTCTTTAACAAGCACCTAGCACAGGCCTGACACAGAGTAGGTATTTAATACATGTTTGTAGACAGTGGGGAAAAGGCCAACAGGAGGATGAATCTGATGCCATCTTAGTCCTTCTATATTTCTCCCATTTAACACCATTGCAATGGGGTGCGTGGCAAGCCCAGCCAGACACTTAGGGCTGGCTGGGGTAAGCGCCCAGGCTTGATCAATAGGCTCATTTCACATCTACACCTGCCCACTCAGCTTCCCACTGAGAATGTGGCAGGCAACACAGACACTGTCACGTAAAAAGAGAACTGTAAGGAAAACAAAACCTTCTTGCCTTTTCATCCTGGTACAGCTTGTTCACACTCTCCAGCTGAAAGTTGTGGCTGGACTGGATTTTGTCGAGCTGCTCCCGCTGCTTTTCCAACTCTCCTTGGAACTCATTCTTTTTCAGCTCCACCGCGCCTCTCTCTGCAGCTGCCCTGCGGACCCTGCCTTCCAGCTCCAGGATCCGCGTCTACAAGGAGACCACAGTGTCAGGGCCAATGCCAAGCACCCCCAAAGACTGGACCACCTGAGCTTCCCCAACAGAGACCATACCAGGGCCCAAGGCCAGCACTCAGCCTCACACCAGTGATGTGTGCCCAAGGTTCCACGTTTTAAGTCAATTGTACCGAAGCTAGAACAGGTTTTTCTAGAGAAATTGGTGCTATGACTGAAGGAACGCACTTTGAGCTCGCCACCACGCCACTCATGGTGTTCCCAGAGGTTTAAATGAGATAAACACACAGAACGCCTCACGGTTTACCTGACATGCGGTGCTGATCCAATAGTTAGCACCTCCTGCCTACTATCAAAGCCCCTAACAACTCCTCAGACTCTGACAACACATTTAGTTCTCCACCTCTGGACACCCAGACCTCATCTGCCCAGAGAGCAGGGGCTCTGGTGGAGGACCCAGCACAGGGACTCCAACCCTGAGTGTGCAGGCATGAGAGCAGGACAACAGACAGACAGGATGGAGTTCCATGGCCGAGAGCCCACGTGGGTTGGAATCCCTGCTGCACCTGTATTTTGCCTCTCTGTGCCTCAGTTTAACCACCTGCGAAATGAGGAAAGTAAAGTCTCAATCTTATAGATTTGTAAGTGCACATTTGTAAAGTGCACATTAAAGAGAAATCACTCTGACATCTATTAAAATAGTAAGAAAGACTTTATCAAAGACTAACATTGGCTCGGCACCCATAGCACAGTGGTTATGGCACCAGCCACATGCACCAAGGCTGAAGCCTGGCCGGGGCCAGTTAAACAACAATGACAACTGCAACAAGAAGATACCTGGGCGTTGTGGTGGGCGCCTGTAGTCCTAGCTACTTAGGAGGCTGAGGCAAGAGAACTGCTTAAGCCCAAGAGTATGAGGTTGCTGTGAGCTGTGACACCACAGCACTCTACCAAGGGCGACATAGTGAGACTCTGTCATAAATAAATAAATAAATACTAATGCAACAGCAGTCATGATCACTGAGTCATAGAAACGCATGAAGGGCTATCTCCACAGCAAATCTAAACAGTCAAAAGTAGGGGTCCTCAAACTTTTTAAACAGCGGGCCAGTTCACTGTCCCTCAGACCGTTGGAGGGCCGGACTGTGGGCCCCAGGATGAATCGGCTGCTAAGCAGGACAGGCAGTGGCGGCAAAAACACCCAGCAGGCCAGATAAATGTCCTAGGTGGGCTGCATTTGGCCCGCAGGCCGTAGTTTGAGGACCCCTGGTCAAAAGGTTCCTTTCCCACCTGAATCAGAGCTGATGTGGACTCTGGCCCAGGTCTGGATGGAGGGGATGTGCAGAGCCTTTCAAGCATGTGCATTAAGTACCACACCTCAGCAGAAAACAAACAGCACACCCTGCCTCATCACCCTGTGACTTTAACTTCTTTATGGCATCCATACAAACTAAACAAACAAAACACCTGAAGATCCACGCTCCGCGAGCTTGCAATCCAATAGTTGAAGCCTAGGATGATGACAGAGGCCACCAGGGCAGCCAGTAGAAGGGGCGGTGACTTCATGCCTCGACGCCCGTTTCCCAGTCCCATCATCTCAAAAGCAGGGCTGAGAACCTGCCGAATAAAAACAAACACTCATCATCACACATACGTTAATATTTAGGCTTAAGGAATGAGGTTACTAAACATTTTTAACATTTATCTTTAGACAAATACAAGTGATGACGCTATGATTAACTTTTTACGTGCAAGGTGCATATAATCTTTGTGTTCCAAAACTTTAGATGCAGTACGTACTGAGAAAGACATGAGATACATGGAAAAATGTTAAGGCCTCTTTCAGAGACTCTGGCACAGTTGTCATTTGAATGAAGATGTGTGTGCTTATTCTCTTATGCATTTTCACTACCTTGCAGGTTAACAGACGCATGTAAAATGTTTAGGAAGTTTTATGGATTATAGCATATTGTGTATTTTCTGCTGTAGCAGGAGGTTTCTTATACATAAAGGCACAGTTGTACCTACTATCTTATTTCCTGAAAGTATCTAATAAGGCTGGTGGACTACCTAGGAGCTGTAACTTTAGATTTTTTTCAGTTGACTTTGTAAGTTTATCAACATTGGCTGTCAAGATTAACATCATTCCAACATGGTGTGAGTTAGGTTTCGATTTTAATTTCTTAAAATTAAGAAATTTCTTTTTTAATTTCTTTTTAATTAAATCATAAACATATAGATCATGTATACATTAATGCATTTATGGGGTACAGTGTGCTGATTTCATATAGAATTAGGAACACTTACATCATACCGGTTAATATATACCTCATCTCATTTACTTAATTATTGTGTTAAGACATTTATACTCTATACTAATAGATCCAGTATGCACCCTTGCATTATGCACCACAGGTATGATCCTGAGTTTCATGAGTTGCAATATTTTGAGTAATTACCATCCTCTGTATTAGGCAGCTGTATCAAATAGATGTCCAAATTGTGTGTTAGAGGCCATAAAATAGCCCTAAGCAGAAAAAAAAATAAATAAGGCTTAATACTAACATTGCCATCCCTGAAACAGGCCACATCAACATCACGCCCACTAGGCCAGGCGGCCTGTCAGGGAGCATGGACTCCTCAAGCTGTGGAAGGAGCTCGTGGGCAGCACACACAGAGCGCAGGTCCGTGTGTCCTGGAGGTGCAGCCAGCTCCCAGGACAGACTGAGAGGGCAGGCACTGGCCCAAACGCCACCATGGACTAGCCTGAGACCTCGGGCAAGGGTATCATACTACTCACCTTTACAACATAGTTAGAGAATTAATCATTTATTACAATACTGTTTCCACATCAACTTGGAAAGAAAACATTTCTCATTATTCCCTAGAGAGGACTTTTTGATTCCTAACAAGTGAGGTTTTCTTTTTTTTTCCTTTTACCCTTGGACAAAGTTCCAGTGACATCCAATTAAAGAGTTTCTTAATAAGCATTTCTCAAGCAAAGCAGGAAACCCATTCTGGAGGTGAATGCGAGCTCCCCCCATTTAAGTCACTGTTCAGGCAAGGCCTGAAGTGACTCTTCCTTCACACACATGGTACAATGCACAAAAATACGGCTTAGAAGAAAGGTGCTATAAATTTCGTTCACAGACTTCAGCTCCTAATCAGGTCTGGCCGGATGCTAGCAGTGTGCCAAGAACAAGGAACGCTGACTTTTCCAAATGTCTTTTGCTCAGCCAGATAAAATAGAACCTTATCAGAGGGGGAGGGGGCACTGAAGAACTGATCTCAGAGGACAGAGCGCTTTTTGTGCCAGGTGTGGCTGGCAAAGGGTGGGGGCAGGGGAAGACCACCAGGGACTCACCTGCAAGACAAAATTCTCATAAGTGAGAACGTATGAGAGCTGATTGGCACCCTATGGTTTTCAAAAGTTTGTAATCAAGAGAGATCTTTAATAGCTAGCTACTGCTGTGAAGGCCTGAGTAGGGATAAATCAGCAATCTAGGCAAATCATCTACTACACCACCAGAATTACTACAAGTGGAACTGATGACGGACGGAGTTTGAACTCCATGCATGCCTTACTCACCACAGCTTCAGGTCTCTCAGAATGAAAAGAGGAAAAATTGTTTTGTTTTGTTTTGTTTTGTTTTTGAGACAGAGCCTCAAGCTGTCACCCTGGGTAGAGTGCAGTATCATCACAGCTCACAGCAACCTCCAACTCCTGGGCCCAAGTGAGTCTCCTGCCTCCACCTCCCAAGTAGT